ACAGCTAAAGAACAGGAGTCAACTTGGGAGGAAGGCCACGGGTGGACGATGAATGGCCCCTCCCAGAGGAAATAAAAGAGGAGCCAAAGGGGAATGGAGTTTGCAGGAGACAATTAGTTTGCTTCATTGATTCGTGACTTTCTGAGATGCCTTGCCAATTTCTGCAGAAATTGGCCTGGCAGCTCTCCAAGCCAGAGAAGGTCTGTGACCGTAAATCCTCCCTTGAAAGATGTTCCTGGATGTGAATGAGCAGAATTCACAGTCAATGAATAAAATATTTTTTTGCCCGTGCAAGGAGTTTGCTTCTTGCTCTCAGGAAACCTGGGTCAGAACAGCCCCACAGAAACATGAAATGTCTTTGGCTGCTTGGAAATAGGACACATCTCTCTTACTTTTATTTGGAAATCATTTTTTCCTGAAGTCATGATTAAAATATGTTGAGTGTTTTAATTGATTTTGCTCCGTTTAGGAAACCCGCCCACTAAGGTTAGGCATGACAAAAGACATTGAAAAAGGCTTCTAATTTGAATTGTTGTCGGGAAAGAAAAAGAAAGAGGCAGTTACTAAAAGGAGGAAATCTTTAAATAATAGAGTGAGTGGAAGAGGAAGAGGGAATTAATCTGACTTTGCCTTAATGGCACTAAGTACGGAGGCCAGAGGGGGAACCGAAGGAATTTGTGGAGGAATTTAAAGGAAAGATGGTCATTTTCTTTGCCTTTGAATTTTTATTTCTTTAAGGGAAGAAGCAATGTTGTCCACCTATTTCGAGACCATCAACGACCTGCTCTCGTCCTTTGGACCGGTTCGTGATTGTTCTCACAATAACGGAGGCTGTACCCGCAACTTCAAATGTGTATCGGATCGTCAGGTGGACTCAACCGGTTGTGTGGTAGGTACAACTTCCCTGACTCAAGGGAAGGTGGATGCCTTGGATTGGTGTTACAAAAAGATGCTTTGGAGAGGTTGAGAATTCAGACCTTCTCTTCATTTGCAGCTCCTTGAAGGAGACATGATATTCTCTGTCTCTGTCTGTCTGTCTGTCTGTTTCTCTCTCTCTCTCTCTCTCTCTCTCTCTCTCTNTCTCTCTCTTTCATTTTTTAATGGTTTCCCCTTTTTTTTATACTTTCCTGCAGCTGTCTTGTCCCCAAAGTAACCCCTCTTCGCTTTTTCCTTTCCTTCACACTCACTACCTCTCTGCATGTCTTCCACCGAATGGTTGGGAGGGTTATTTTATCGATCCATCTTTTTTTTTTTGCGGTTTATTTTCTTAAGTGGAAAAAGGGAAAAGAAAAAAGAAAACATCCTTATACGTGCCAAGGGAAAAATGAAACCAGCCAGCGTTCTCTAATTTTGCACTCAGGTTCCCGTAATAAGGCTGATAGGTATGAAATCACTCACAGTGTTGGGGGAAAGCCCTTTAGGGTAGTGTCTACCAATGGACTGAAACTGATGCGGGAGAATCAGCAGGGGAAAACGACTGTCACACCTTCTTCCCTGCACATCAACCTTCATTTGTGAGATTGTGGACAAGATGTCTACCAGTCTCCTCCAAAAACAGGTTTTTTGTTCTTGACTTCCTCTTGATAGAAGGGACGGGGTGGCCCAGTGGCTAAGACGCTGAGCTTGTCGATCAGAAAGGTTGGCAGTTCAATGGTTTGAATCCCTAGCGCCGCGTAACTGAGTGAGCTCCTGTGACTTGTCCCAGCTTCTGCCAACCTAGCTTGAAAGCACATAAAAATGCAAGTAGAAAAACAGGAACCACCTTTGGTGGGAAGGGAACAGCGTTCCGTGCGCCTTTGGCATTGAGTCATGCTGGCCACATGACCCCGGAGACGTCTTCGGACAGCACTGGCTCTTCGGCTTTGAAACAGAGATGAGCGCCGCCCCCTAGAGTCAGGAATGACTAGCACAGATGTGCAAGGGAAAAAAACCTCCTGATAAGCCAGCCTGTTCCTCTCAATCCTGATTCACCCAAAGATGCTTTTTCAAAAGGCAGCTGGACTTAGTTCTTGCTTGAAGACATTTTGCTTCTAATCCAAGAAGCTTCTTCAGTTCTTCAGTTCACATAGAACATATAGAGCCGAGGTGGCACAAGTGGTTAGAGTGCAGTACTGCAGGCGACTTCAGCTGACTGCTAGCTGCAGTTTGGCAGTTCAAATCTCACCAGGCTCAAGGTTGACTCAGCCTTCCATCCTTCCGAGGTGGGTAAAATGAGGACCCAGATTATTGGGGGCAAGAGGCTGATTCTGTAAACTGCTTAGAGAGGGCTGTAAAAGCATCTGTGAAGTGGTATATAAGGCTAAGGGCTAGTGCTAAACAAGTTCTCTTTGTTATGGGAACCATCTGCCTTCCTCTTCACACCTGTTGAGATGTCCTTGAGAAGTTTCCAGACTCTCCCAAGCCTCAGTGGAACTGCAGAAGTTTCATTTCTCCAACTAACCCATTCATAACCAACACTTCCCCTCCCTTACTCTAACGACAAGTTGAAAGGAAGAGTCACGTACCCGTATCCAAGAAGCGCCTTCAGTTCTGACTGTCCTTGAATATGTTTTGCTTCTCATCCAAGAAAAAGCACTTTTGAGACAACCTGGATGACTAAAAGTTTCCACAGACACATCCCTAATTAAGTGATCTCTCAAATGTATGAAACATACCAAGCAGGGTCCTTTCCTGTGATTGTCCCCTGTGTAGCAAAACAAAGATTAAAAACTGGCATACTACTCTTGTGTAATGATTAGATGTTTTTGCCCCCTAAATGATCAAGAGGAATGGGCTACAGACATTCAGGATAGACAATCTTAAGTTGAGTCAAAAGTACCCAGTTTGAGTTATCATGCTGGGCATTGCATAAATGAGGGGTACAGAAGGAAGAAAACAAAATTTAAATTTAAATTGAGAGTTAAATGAAGGCAGGTGTCAAATAAATTAAATACTGTTACGATTTTTCTCCATTTATTTGATATTTTGGAATGGAATGGAGATTAGATAGGAATAAAATGGGATGGAAAGGAATGGAAGACACTATAAAATGGAATGGAATGGAACATAAAATAGAACAGAATTCTTTATTGACCAAATGTGATTGTACACACAAGGAATTTTTCCTTCAATTGTATCAAGAATTTGGAGGCGCGCCTGTTGTGGGCCCCCAGCAGCCAGAAGAGCTGGCTGCAGATTTGGATAGTGGGGAGGTTGGGGAGGAATATGGGCCAGTCCTGGAGACTGGGGAAGGCTCTGCTGAGGGCTCTGTGTTGGGGGCAGAGAGGGGGCCAGAGCCCTATGCCTTGAGAATCACACATTAGTAAGGCAGAAGAACAGCTGGAGCCTGTTCCCAGTGTGCGCATGCGCAGAGTTGCCAGACAAAGGGAACAGCTAAAGAACAGGNATTCCCTATTCTATTCTATTCCATTCCATTCCATACCCTATTCTATTCTATTCCCTTCCCTTCCCTTCCCCTCCCTATTCTATTCTATTCTATTCTATTCCCTATTCTATTCTATTTCTATTCCAGTCAATTCCATTCCCTTCTCTTCCCTATTCTACTCTACTCTATTCCATAGTTTGTTTTTGTTTTTCTACATTAATAAGAAAAAGAGCTAAGCTTAATAGAAAAAAAAAGATGAAGAGGAGAAAGGGGGAAAAAAACCTTTTAAGCAATTTCTTTCACTTATTTCCCTGAAATGTTTGGAAACAGCACCTGTAAACAAGCATTCTGACTCTTCATAAAGTGGGAAATGCATCCGCTGTTCTCGCCATTAGCGGGAATTGCTTTTGTTTTTGGCGGGGAAGAAAAACAACCGAGAACAGCAGGGATGTTTGTGTTTCTGAGCAAATGGGCTTGCCATTTTTTTTGCATTTCGTTCCTTTCATCTTGGTTTCAAAGTCCCTCATTTGGAGTCCATTTGCAACTGTTTTGAGTCTAGCCAAATGAGCCTCGGACCTTATGATTTAGTTTAGTTTTAGTTTTAGTTTTAGTTTTAGTTTAGTTTAGTTTAGTTTAGTTTAGTTTAGTTCAGTTTATTGTCATTGCACATCATACAACGAAATTAAAGGCCATCTTCAGTGTACATTGTAACAATCAAAATAGAAACACAAACACCTCCTTCACATCCTACACAATTGAATTGAAAACCCCTGATATTGCATTAATATTACACTATATCGTAGAATTCAACATAGTTACTACCCTGGGATAGAAGCTGTTTTTCAGCCTATTTGTCCTTGTCTTTATTATCCTGTACCGGCTGCCAGATGGTAATAGTTAAAAAAAAAAAAGAGGGGTGCCCAGGATGAGATGGATCTTTAAGGATGTTTCTTAAGGCAGCTATAAAGCTCTTCCGAAGAGGGGAGAGAGCAACCCCTGATCCTCTGGGCAATGACGTTGATCCTCTGGAGCGCATCCTATCTGTCCCTGTGCAATTGGCAAACCAGACACAGGTGCAGTAAGTTAAAATACTCTCTATGGTGCAGCGGTTGAAGGTCACCAGCTTTTTTCCATCCAGTTGTTGTTTCCCGAGAAGTCTCAGGTCGTATTATCTCTGCTGGGCCCTTTTGACCAGGGCTGCAATGTGAGTTAACCTCTTTTTGTGATAACACCCAAAAAACTTAAAACTGGCCACTTGCTCCACTCGGTCTCCATCGATAAGCAAGGTTCTGGATGTCTGACTTATTGTCTGATGGACACGTTGCAGAAACATATTAGAGAAGCTCCAATGGACCTCACTAAGATGCTTTCTTGCAAAGATCCAAGAACGACTTGTCTTGGTGTTTCCTTAAACTGCCGGCTTCTACCTCCCATCTTCCTCAGCTCAGTTTGATAGTTTTGCAGAAATAAATGATCCAAAACTGACTATCCTTCCTGGATACCAACCAACCAGTCAACCAGAGAACGTTTCCTGCAAGGCTGCCTTGACGGGGAACGCTTCGCCTGCGATCATCCTGGGAGACTTATTGGCTGAGTAGAATATTGATTTTCTAATAATTTCTAGTCCTCTTCTAGTCCGGTGTCACCAGGGAGGCAGATCAGAAATTGGACTGCCGCTGAATTGCTGCCGGATTGATTAAAACTCACAGTAATTATTGCTTCTTGGCTGTTCGAGGCAGGCTGATCAATCCTCGGATTCTTTCGGCAGCCTCGGGAAATGGGTATTAATGGGTTAGCATTCCATCAGCCCTGAAGGAGAAACGTGGAGGGGCAACCAACGAAGTCATGGAGATCGTTCATACGGTTGCCAATATTTTCCCAGGTACGGAAGCTTAGAACTGAAGAAGACCCAAGTATGGAAACTATGATGCCACCAAGGTCCTACCTCATCTGAGATGGGTGGATCCTAACCGGTTTACTACCGGTTCGAGCTTGCGCAGAAGTGTCTGGTGGGCGGGTGGAATCTCCCACCACTGCCACTAGGTGGTTCAGCTGAAGTGGGCTGAATTGGGAGCAACCCACCTCTGCAACACACCCTCTGTAGTTAAATCAACGATTCCTTTATTAGGAGCACCAGCAGCAAAAAGTTTCTCTCAATGCAGGCTAACAGGTCTGCCCAACAGGGAGGTGAATAATTGTCTACCACACATATTTATCTCTGCCCCCTGCCTTTTATCCCCAGAGCTAGGATAGGGCTTTGCTAGCAGTGATGGCTCTTCCATCCAAGAACCAGCCCATAGATTTCCATTGCTCTCCTCTCCTCTGTTTTCTGAGAATCCATGCATCAGACACTGGACTCATCTGTTCCTCCTCTTCTTCATCAGCCACTCCCTCACCTGGGGGCTGTTGACTCTTCATCTGAGGGCTGATGGACAGCCCAGTCTCTGTCTCTCTCTCTCTCTCTCTGCCAGCTCCATTCCCTCTTCCCCCTCGGAGTTCTCAGGTTGCCTTCATGCTGACCCTGA